TCAGAGCTTGGCGTTTTGCAATTCTTGTCCACGCCGGGCGTGGCTTCGCCCAGCGCTTCGGGCCCCGGGGCCCTCACGGATCCATCCAGCTCGAAAAGTGACGCAGAAAGATGGGGTCCAGGGCTCTGGTCGTGATTTCTGTCCCGTCGGATCTGAAACAACCCTGAGATCCGGGCGTGGCAGCTTGTTCACAACAGGCGCTTCCGCCCATGTTCGGGCCCTGGAGCCGTCACAGATCGGTGCGGCTCGAGAAAAGGCGCAGAAGGACGGGGCCTAGGCCTCCAGTCGGCGTGTTTCGGGCAGTTGCGATTTTTCCGCGACGTCGGTCCCAGACCTCCGACGAAGGGGTCCTTTTTGGCGGGCGGTTTTTCTCTTCTCGCCTTCGGCCATCGTGAGCCGTTGCTCACTCGGGAGCGGCCAAGAGGGGGGTGTCTAAGAGGGGGGGGGGGGGCCACATCATGACCGGCGGCATGTGCGCGGCCCAGCGGGGGGCCAGGGACGTAATGAAATAAGAAGAGGCGCCATGATCTGAGGAAAAAAATCATTGGCCCGCGCCATGGATCCCCCCCCCCCCCTAGTCATCACCCCCCCTTTGCCGCCCCCGTTGCTCGGGCCCCGGGAGCATCAGAAAAAAGCATCCGGGGCGAAGAGGTACCCCCCAGGGAAGGGGTCGGGGCCCCCAGGGTCGCGGGCCGAGAAGACCAGGTCGGCGGATGTCAGGGCACACTCGTGCACAGATAGGGGGCCACATGCGAACCCTACCCCTACCCCCCACGAGTTCTGAGGGGAAGGGTGAGGTTCACTTTGAACGGGAGCTCCCGAGCAAAGAGAACCCCACCCTTCCCCCCAGAAATCGTGGGGGGTAGGGGTAGGGTTCGCATGTGGCCCCCTAACAGATCCCCAGTCACCACCTCGACGAGCGGCAACCAGATCCACATCCACGCCCTTGCGGCCTGGCCTCTCCGGCGCGCGACCCCGTGGACGCGCGGTCGCACGGCTGCGCTCCGCAAATCCAAAATACCCACACAAGCAATAACACCTATATATATATATATATATATATATATATACATACACACACAAGACTGCAGTGGCGCTTCGCGCCATGCACCTCCGTCCTTGAAGTCTGGCATGCAGGCGGAAGAGCAGGAAGGTGAAGCCGACAATTTAGCGATAACTCCATCTTGCCTTTTCCGCTATCGCCGCTATAAGAATGCTATTCGTTATCCTTCCTCATATGCTTCTTTTTCCTCATGTTCGCCATACCCTGCGCATTCTCCCCATCCTCCTCAGCTCTTTTTTGCGGAGGCTCCTCCTTGAGGCTTTCTTAAGACCTTCTGGAGGCTTCCTGGGCGTATTCTGGGGGCCTCTGGGGGCTTCCTCGGGACACCCTGCCTCCAACCGCGGTCTCCCTGAACGACCGGGTCACGATTTGGAATGCTTCGGAGGGTGTCTTGGGGCCACCTTGGGCCGCCATGGGGCTCTCTGAGGGCCATCTTGGACCATTGTTGTGCCGTTTTGGGACTCTCTTGGACTGCCTGGAAGCCCTTTCGGATGGTTGCGGGGCGGTTTTGGAGCCTCCCAAGCTGCTTCGGACGCCCAGAAGACCGCCGTCTTGGAGCGTCGGGAATCCGAAAAGAGGAGAACCCCAAAATTCACCAAAACCAAAATAAAATCCGCCGACCCCTTGGGGATCATCGGCGTGTGAGATGCTTCCCCCTCCCCAAACCCCTCCCCCGGGAGCCTGGTCCGGTCGATTTGGAGGGGGGGGGGGGTCCGGCACGAGCGCAGCACGGCCGGGACGAGCGGTTCACGGGGCTTTTCCGGGCCCAAGAGGGCCTCAAGACGGGCCAAGAAGCCCCCAAGAGGCCTCCAAGACGGCCCACGAAGGCCCCGAGACGCCAAACGACCGCTCCAAGACGCCCAAGATGGCCCCAAGACGGGCCAAGAGGTCTCCAAGACGGCCCCCGAGGTCCCAAACAAGCCTCCCAAGAGGGCCCCAAGAGTCTAAAATTGTTGATTTTCCATAGTGTTTTTCGATGTTTTTTGCTTTTCCGCCTTTTCGGCTTCCCGACGCTCCAAGACGGCCAAAGAGGCCCCAAAGACAGCCCCAAGATGGCCCAAGAGGCCCCCAAGACGGCCTCCAGACGGCCCAAGACGGCCCCAACACGGCCCAAGAGGTCCCCAAGACGGCCCAAGAGGGCTCCAAGACGGCACCACGAGGGGCCCAAGAGGGCGACCAAACATGTTGAAACTCTAGCTTTCTGCCCCCAGGAGCCCCAGGGGGCCCCAAGAGTGCCCCAAGAGGCCCCCAGAGGCCCTCACGAGGCCGCCCAGACGCCCCAAGGAACCCCCAAGAAGCACCCCAGAGGCTCCGAAACGGCCCCCAAGTGGCTCCAAAACTCGCGGTGTCGCCGTCCGCTCGGACCCCCCCGCGGAACTGCCCGAGACCCTCTGGCGGTGGCGGCGAACAGACACCAAACAAATATCACTCGCCTTTTCACCCCTTCGCAGCTTCTACTACCCCCAGATTGGCATAAACAAGGGGTCGGCGGTGTGGCGTAAGCCTAAGAATCAATGATGTTTGTCTCTCGGGGCCTTCTTGGGAGTTCTCTTGGAGGCCTCTTTGGGGCCGTCCTGGAGGCCTCTTGGGCCATCTTGAGGTCACGTCGGTCACTATTGGAGCACTCTTGTGCTGTCTTGGGGGTCTCTGGGACGTCTCCGATGACCCCCCTGATCACCCTAGGTGTGCTGGGAAGGCTTGGCAAAACGCCCTGCGCGGCCCGGGGGGCCGCTTCGAGGCCCAGATCCTGGGAGTCCAGTTTTTTGTTTGGGGGGGTCCCCCCGCCCGGGCTTGTAAAAGTAAAAGAAGAGAGAGAGAGAGAGAGAGAGAGAGAGATGCGCATATACATATACATATATGTACAAAAATGTTCAACAAAAATGTTCCCTGACTATTTTAAAACTATGTTTGAATTTTCCTCCTGTAGAGGGAAAGGCCCGACCTAAGCCCAGGGGCCTGGCCCGCGAGGCCGTGCCTATGGATATGTCCCCTGCCCACGACACCAGGCCCGTCCTGGGCCCAAGATCCGCGCAGCACACAGCCAGGACCAGCCACCAAGAGGGGAGTCGCCGTGCACCGAGGGCAGGGCACCCAGGACGCGACACGATGGAGAGCGTCTCTGTATTCTCGGCGATGACGGGCGTCATGGGGAGGGGGGGGGCAGGGGGGGGTATGACAGAACGCCTCCCCCCCCGCCGTGTGGCTCCGGCACCACAGCCGCGCCCACCCGCACGACGACGATGAGCGACGAGCGACGAGCGACGAGCAACGAGCGACGGGGCGGCGGGCGTTACGTCAAAGGGGGGAGGGCGGCGGGGGGGGGGAGGCGGGAGCCATGACGCCTGTCATGCCCCAAGCGATAAATAAACACGCTCATGCTGGGGCACCCCTGGGCCAGGGACGCAGAAAACGTACAAAGGATGCCCAGAATGGAAAAATTCTGGAATTCACTGCTTCAGATGCTCTCCAGAAGGCTGGTGTTGACTGCACGCCCTCCCAGCATGGCCAGGAAGCCACGTGCACCGATGCTGGGCTCAGAATCGACCTGGGCAGGATCGGCGTAGGTGTATATTTGGCGTCCTCCGACCGTCGTCGTGGTGGTCTCGTCCGCCCCCACTGCATCCTCGTCCCGTGATCCCCTTGCCCGCGCTGCACAATCAGCCAAGACCGAACGCCGAGATCGCATCGGATCCGGGCGAGTACGGAGTCGATACCGAAGGGAACCAGAAGCCCGAATCGGGTCGCGCTGGTCGGAGTCGGCGTCGCATCGCACCGCCCGAATCAAGATTGGCCACGCGGTGAGCACAGCCTCGGGGATGGACAGACCCCCCTTTAGCAAAACGTGGTTTAGTGAAAACGACCTGAGGCCCAAAACCTGGCGGGCGCAAGCCTGGAAAATGACGGCCACGGCGCCCTCTCGAAAACCGAACACGGACAATTCACTAATCGACGCGTCACTGTTGGGGGTTCTGTCCACCCCCGAACAGCGGGCGCCCAGGCAGCAATCTGGCGGGCCTGGCCCAGCTCAGAGACAGCGGAGCACCGCCCGAGCGCGCGGGTGCGGATGCCGACTGGCTCGAGCCGGGCCAGGGCGTGCCCGATTGTGGCTGGGCCCCCGCGGCGCCAGCGGGGCACGGAGATCGCGGTCCCCGTCGGAGCTGGAGAAGTCTGCATCCTCCTCCGTGATGGGCACATGCTCCACCCCCACTGCCTTATGCAGGAGAGGGAGGAGGAGGAGGAGGAGGAGGAGGAGGAAGAGGACGAGGACGAGGAGGAGGAGGCGGACCTCCTCATCCTCCCTTCTCCCCCGTCCTACAGATGGTAGTGGTGGTAGGAAATCTGCCCATCACTCCTTGGAGGCCTCCTTGGAGGCGTCCTCCTCGGCCGCTCGCCCCAGCGTGAGGCGCCTGCGCGCCCGCGGCCTCGCCTCGCTGGCCGCCGCGTGGGCGGCGGAGGAGGCCTCCGGAGCACCACGGAGGGGAGGAGCAGAGGTCGTGCCCTGCCTGTGGGGGGCCTCTCGCTTGAAGCGCACTGGCGACGGCGGAGTCTCGCCCTCGTCGGGCATGGACAGGTCCAGGTCGTCGCCGTCGGGAGCCGGCGTTGTGCCGATGGCCTGCTGCGTGGCGGCAGGCTCCTCCCTGTCGGCGTGCCTCCGCGGAGGCGGCGCCGACGGCGAGTCCTCGTCGGAGAGGTCCAGGTCGAGGCTCTCGTCCCCGCCAGCGCTGCGCATCGGCGGAGCCGCTTCCTTGCTGCCGTGCTTCTGCTGGCCGCCGTGCCTGCGAGGGAGCGGCGACGTGTCCAACTCGCCGGCGGCCTCCATCTGCAAGTCGTCACCAGCAGCGGGGGTCGTCGAGGCGGACTCTGCAGCAGAGCCACGCCCACGCCTTCGCGGAGGCGGCGCTGGCGGCCCGCCCTCGTCCGAGAGGTCCAGGTCGAGGCTGTCTCCGCCCCCGCCGCTGCGCGTCGGCGACGCCGCCTCCTGGCTGGCGCGCGCCTGCTTCCTGGCGTGCCTGCGCGGGAGCGGCGGCGCGTCTACGTCGCTGGCCGCCTCGGGTGAAGAAGAAAACGGCAGCCGCCACCGTGCCCTTGGGCACGGAGTGGGCGTGTCCTCAGGTCCTTTGCCTGATCCTCTAAGCCTCACTCCTCACTCCTGGGGATTCCTTCAGGGACACGGACCCCTCGCTCTCAAATCTCACGGGGCGTCTCGCGGCTTGTCGCGTCTTGTGGCGTGACTTTTTCGGAGCCAAGAGCGAAGAGGGCCCCAAGACGGGCCAAGAGGGCCCTGAGAGGCCCCCCACTCGGTCCAAGAGGGCCCCGAGTCGCCCAAAGATCGCTCCGAGACACCATGGCCTCAAGATGGCCCAAGGGGCCTCCAAGACGCCCCAGGAAGCCTTCAAGAAGACTCCCAACCCAAGAGGGCCCCAAGAGGCAAACGTCTGTGATTTTTGCAAGGTTTTCGAGAGATGTTGGCGTTCCCACCTTTTCTGCTTTCCGACGCTCCCAGACGGCCCAACAGGCCCCCAAGACCACCCTAAGACTGCCCAAGAGGCCTCCAAGAGGGCCCCAAGACGGCCCAAGAGCGCCCCAAGACGGCCCAAGTGGCGCCCAAGACGGCCCAAGAGGGCCTGAAGACGGCCCCAAAAGAGGTCCAAGAGAGAAAAACACGAACCGAAAGTCCGAGCCTTCCGCCCCAAGAGGCCCCCACGATGCCCCAAGAGACTCCCAAGAGACGCCCAAGAGGCTACAAGAGGCCCCAAAGAGGCCCAAAAGAGACCTCAAGAGGCCCCAAAACGGCCCTCAAGAAGCCTCAAGACTGCCTCCAAGAGGCCCCGGAGAGGCCTCCCACGAGATCCCAAATAACACCCAATAGGCTTCATACCCACGACCCAGGCGCGGTGGCGGATGGGCCGAAGGCCATTCGATGCGCCTCCCCCTGTTGATTTATCACAGGGGTGCATGGCGTGCTGAACCCTCCGGCTTTTGGTCTTGGTTCTTTTCCACCATAAACCCCCCTGGGGCTGCGGCCCACCGCGCCGGCCACCCGGAAAGCCGCCGAGAATGCACAGGTCGTGGGTGTTCGGGCCGTGGATGGCCAGGCCAGTGGATGGCGTCCAAGACGGCCAGAAGACAGCCAAGATGGTCCAAGATGGCTTCCAAGATCGCCCAAGATGGTCCAATATGGCCTGCACGACGGACCAAGAGGGTCCAAGATTCCTCCAAGTCCGCCCAAGAAGTTACCAAGACAGCCCAAGATGGCCCAAGACGGTCCCAGAGGCATCCAAGAGACCTCCAAACCGACCCAAGAGGCCTCCAAGAGGTCCTCCAGGAGAGCCCGAAGAGGCCAAAATGATAGATGTTCCTTCGGTGTTTGAAGGATTGGGGCCTTTGCGTCTTTTGGGCCATTCGACGGCCCAAGACGGCCCAAGAGACCCCCAAGGTCGCCCCAAGAGTACCCTAAGAGGCTCCCAAGAGGCCTGCTCATGCTCCCGTTCCTGCTCCTCCTCCTCCTCCTCCTCTTCCTCCTCCTCCTCCTCCTCCTCCTCCTCCTCCTCCTCCTCCTCCTCCTCCTCCTTTTCCTCCTCCTCCTCCTCCTCCTCCTCCTCCTCCTCCTCCTCCCTCCTCCTCCTCGTCCTCCTCCTCCTCGTCCTCCTCCTCCTCCGTCCTCCTCCTCCTCCTCCTCCTCCTCCTCCTCCCTATAGTTCCTCCCTCTCCTCCGCTTTGTCTTTCTCCCCCGCGTGTTCTCCGAAGGGTTCCCACGACGGCCAGGGGAACACATGCAGAGCTCTGGCCACGACGTTCGGCCACATGGGCGCTTCCAAAAGGCAGGGGGCGGCGGTGATTCGCCGTAGGCGTCTTCGATAAACATAAATAAACTTTCGGAGGTCCGCGTGGACTTCTTCGATCCGCACTGGACCCCCCTCCCTGTCGCGCGGAGCTCGCCAAATGGTGAACCTGGGGGGTGGGAAGTGAGAGGGGGCGGGCCTTCTCAGAAGGCTCGGAAGTCCCCCGGCCTTCTGAAAAGTTGCCTAAGCCTGCTCCGCAGACGCAGAACAAATTTCTCAGAAGGCCAGAGGGCTTCTGAGAAGTCCCGCCGCCTTCTGAGAAGGCCGTCTCCTTCTCACTTCCACTCCCCTCGCTCGCCGCCGAATTTGGGTTTTGGGTCATGTCTCCAGCGGCCGTTCGGGACGACCCATGCACCCCTGGAACGCCCTCGGCGAGGCGCAGCTGCTGGCAGGCACCCCGGGGCCCGAAAGCCGCCGAGCACCGACGCGCGCGCCCGAAACGCCTCGCACCCCTCGCGCCCGCAACTCTTCCTCTTCCCTCGCTCGCCACCGGTTGCTTCTTCTTCTTATTATTATTATTCTTCTTCTTATCATTATTATTATTCTTAGTATGCTTCTTTTTCGTATTATTATGATTACTATTCTTATTATTATTATTGGTAATATTATTATTAGTATTATTATTATTATTAGTAGTAGTAGTAGTAGTATTAGTAGTATTATTATTAGTATTATTAGTATTATTATTACTAGTAGTAGTAGTAGTATTATTATTATTTCTCTTCTTCTTCTTCTTCGTCTTCTTCTTCGTCTTCCTCGCGCCTCGGTCTGCAGGTCGTCGCTGGAGGCGGGCGCGGAGGGGGCGGCCGCCGCGGCAGAGCCGCGCCCGCGCCCCCGCGCGGGCGGCCGCGCCGGCCCGCCCTCGCCCGCGAGGCCCGGGTCGAGGCCGTCGTCCCCGCCGCCGCCGTGCGGCGGCGGCGTGGCCTCCCGCAGGGCGGCGTGCCTCTGCTGGGCGCCGTGCCTGCTTCTCGGCGGCGAGCGGAGGGGGGGAAGCGAGAGGGACCTCCTCCTCCTCCTCCTCCTCGTCCTCCTCCTCGTCCTCCTCCTCCTCGTCCTCGTCCTCTTCCTCGTCCTCCTCCTCCTCGTCCTCCTCCTCCTCCTCGTCCTCATCCTCTTCCTCGTCCTCCTCCTCCTCCTCCTCCTCCTCCTCCCTCCTCGTCCTGATCCTCCTCGTCCTCGTCCTCCTCCTCCTCCTCCTCCTCCTCCTCCTCCTCTCCTCCTCCTCCTCCTCCTCCCTCCTCCTCCTCCTCCTCCTCCTCCTCCTCCTCCTCCTGCTCCTAGAGGGCCTGCTCCCCTGAGCTCCTGGCGACTCGATGTTTTCGAGCCGGGCGTTCTCCTCCCCCGTCGGGCCCCGGGGCCCTTACAGATCGGCCCGAGGAATGACGCAGAGAGCTTGGGTCTGGGGCTCTGGTCGCGACTTTTAGCGATGTTCCAATTATTTCGGGACGTCGGATCTCAGTGTCAGAAGGCGGCGGGACTTCTCAGAAGCCCTGCGTCTTCAGGGAACGCTCCGGAAACTTCTCGGAAGGCCGGGGGACGTCCGAGCCTTCTGAGCAGGCCCGCCCCCTCTCACTTCCCCCTAGGCTCGCCGCTGATACTTCTGCGGCAACTCATGGAAGCCCCCCATACCATCCTTGTTGGCTCTTGCTAGTCGACGCTAGTCGATGCAAGATCGGCCCTAGATCGGCGCTGCATGGACGCGGATTCGAGGCTGAATCGTCGCTGAATCGGCACTACTTCATCGACTACCAGAAGCTAATCGACGCTGGTGCACTCTAAGAGCGGACTTTCGGCGGTGGACAAACCTCCCTTTAGTAGACCTCCCCTTAGTGAAAAATGCCTGGGACCGAAACCGACGGACCTGGACCCGCAAAAATGACGGCCGCGACGCCCTCTCGCGAACCGAAAACGGCCAATTCCTTAATCGACGTGTCAGGGTAGGTCTATCCACCCCCGAGACTTACGAGGGTATACTAGGAGGGTTCACAGGGCCCCCATGACTTGTTACCGAACGTGCCTGCGCGAGAGCAGCGGCGCGTCCACCTCCGCGGGGCCGCCAAACGACTGCAGATGCGGCGCCATCGGCTTCCCCCCCCACCCTCCTCCTCGTCCTCGTCCTCTCCTGTTCTTGCTCCCTTTCCACTCTGCAGGGGGGCCTGTCCGCGCGTGCGCGGAAGCGCCAGAGAAGCTTGCCAAAGTGGTCGTTGGAATACACGCAGTGGCTCACAAGTGTTCGAGCAGCTCTCCTCTCGAAACGCTTCGAGGCCCAGTGGCCCTGGGCGGGTGTCGGCACGCGCGCGGCGGCGGCGCGCGCGCGTGGCCCGCACGGTGTTTTTTGTTATGCGGGCTCGCGCGCTGGGCGCATGCTGGATCGAGTCGGATGCACCGCATGGTGCGATGACAGTGTGCGACTTGTGGACGAGATTGCCACGGCCAGATGGTTGTCCTATGAGTTGGGCAACTGCGCGCGGGCAAAAAAAACGCAAGATGCGTGATGGGTAGCCTGAAGGGTGGTGATGTGCTTACGTTGAGGTGCTTACAGAGTTCGCATGTGCGCGCGTGTGCGCTTTGTACAATTGTTTGCAAAAGGCCATTGGCAAGCAGTCGCTTGCGATAAGCGAGTGCGCGGGCATTGTATTGTTAGACAGAGATCAGGGGGGGAGAGGGGGGCGAAAACCCGACTAGCAGGGATGCTCTGAGTTCGTGTGGAAAACGAACGATGGGGCAGACTCATGTAATTTGCAGTGTCCCCGAGGGTATCGAGAAGTCCGGGGGAGAGAGAGGGTAGTAGAGTCTATTCTTCTGTTCTGTTGAAAGGAGAATATATGTGGTGCAAGTTCTGAAGTACTTTCCCAGAGACCAGCATCCTCATCCTGTGTCGTCGCAGGGCCCCGACGAAGGCTTCAGGAGTCCCGAAACAGCGAATAGCCTCGAAAGTCAACTCCTGGACCTCCTCTGAAGCGCGGCTTGACCCAAATGTCGAGACGGATCCAGCCGTGGCGACGAGGAGCCCCTAGAGAAAGTAAAGAGGAAGAACAAAAACACACCAAGAAACCCTCCTGCCCCCATTCCCCACCCTGACCTCTGACTTGATTTTGGTCGCAACGCGGACGTCCAGAGGTCTGGAACCTTTCTGCGGGACGAACTTCTGGCCCCGCGCTGTTCTTTGACGGCTCAGAGGGCCCGGCAAGGGCCCCTCCAGGGGCAGAAGATGTGCAAAGACTTTCCCTGGATGTGTTCCCCGAAGAGGGAGGAGGAGTGAGAGTAAGAGTAAGAGTAAGAGTCCCAGGACAATGTCCAACAAGAGGAAGGAGGAGGACGAGGAGGAAGGAGGAAAAAGGAGGAGGGATAGGTGGAGGAAGGAGGAGGGAGGGAGGGAGGGAGGGAGGGAGGGAGGGGAGGGGGGGAGGAGGAGGAGGAGAGGAGGATGAGGAGAGGAGAGGGAGGAGGAGGAGGAGGAGGAGGGAGGAGAGGAGGGAGGAGGAGGAGGAGGAGGAGGGAGGAGGAGGAGGACGGGAGGAGGAGGAGGAGGAGGAGGAGGAGGAGAGGGAGGAGGAGGAGGTCTGGGCCCAGCCGGCACCGGCGGCGCACACTTCCTGCGCCCCGGTGGCCTCGTCGGCGCCCGCCCCCTGCGGGCCGTCGCCCGAGGCCGCGGCGGGGGCCTCCGCGGAGACCCCGCGCCCGCGGAGGTCCCGCGCGGGCGGCGGCGGCTCCGTCTCGTCGTCCGCGAGGTCGAGGTCGAGGTCGTCGTCGCCGTCCCCGCTGCGCAGCGGCGGCGCCGGCTCCTGGCGGCAGGGCGACGACGACGACGACGACGACGACGACGACGACGACGACGCACGGCGGCTCATCGCGGCTTGTGGCGCAAGGAGCCGGCTCCTCGCGGCGCCGGCTCCTTGCGCCACCATGCGAGGGACGAAAGAACACGGGGTCGTCTGCGCCGACATCGGCGCGCAAGCGCCCCGCGTATAGGGTCGCGCGCCAGCGCGCCCTCGTGGCCAGTGCAGCGTGCCGCGCTGGCGGTTCGCGTGCGGTCGCCAGGTCATCTCGCGCAAGGCCCGTTTTGATCGTCGCTCGTGCGCGTGTCTCCCGAAGGCCCTGCATTTTGTGATTCTGGGTCGAGGGTTCACAGCCCCCTCCCACCCCCCCTGAATAGGTGCCCCAGGCTTCCGCAGGGCCCCCCATCCAGATGGGATGGGGGGTACGACGACGACGACGCCGACGACGACGAGGACGGCGACGACGACGACGACGAGGACGACGATGACGACGACGACGACGACGACGACGACGACGACGACACCGACGACGACGACGACGACGACGACGATGACAACGTCAACGATGACGACGTTGACGTTGACGTTGACGTTGACGACGACGACGACGACGACGACGACGACGACGACGACGACGACGACGACGACGACGACGACGACACCGACGACGACGACGACGACGATGACAACGTCAACGATGACGACGTTGACGTTGACGTTGAAGACGACGACGACGACGACGACGACGACGACGACGACGACGACGACGACGACGACGACGACACCGACGACGTCCACCCTCCACCGCGCCACGCCAAAAGGGCCAGATCACAGGGAGGGGTGGCGGGGGCCGATGCCTTCGCGAGGTTCACGGGGTTATCCAGCGAGAGGGGGGGCCCGCTCCCATTAGCATCGGGGGGGAGAGCCCGAGCCCTGGATCATATGTGACGCGGGCTGTGAATTGACGGGCCAGCACGGGCTGCGTGGGATTGATGGAGCTGCACTGGGGTAGATCCACAGTGGGCTAACACACGTCCTGAGGATCATCGAGCTTTTTGCCCCCCAGCCATCCCCATTCCTTATAGATAACTCCTCCTCGCCGCACCACCAAGACGTGTCGGCAGGGCGGACCGTGCGTTTCGCAGGAGAGGTCTCCAGCTCTCACTGCCCGAAAGCTCCACAGCACCAGCGGCTACATGGAGCGCAAGCCGTTTGCGAAGTGCGACTAGCGCCTCAGCGGCCTGCATGCGCTCGTCTTGAAAGCTCCCCTCAGCTGCAGGGATTTGGAGCAGGTGCATGGGAGCTGGCTCCAGCTCAGAATGGGACTCTCGCCGGAGACTCTTGCCTCCATCTCAAAGATGGGCTCTCGCTCGAGTAGCAGCTGGCTCCATCTCAAAGTTGGACTCTCGCTAGAGACTTTCTCCAAACCCACCGCCCGCAGCGTACACTTGTGCGCAGCAGCCACGCGGAGGGAAAGCGCGCGCTTCGGGCCTTCGCTCGACACTCCCGCAGTGTCTGCGACCTGGCGCGAAACGTGGCGCAACACCTTCACGGATGCAGGGCGGCGCCCTGTTCTCGCTGGACGTGGTCTCGACCTTTCCGGTCCTATCGACAGCTCGGGCACGTCCCCCAACAGGCTGATTTTGGGCAAAAAATCAAGAGTGCTCAAAAGATATTCAAAGCTAGCCAAAAACAATAGAAAAATCACCCCCTATACGTTTTTGTTGCTCCTGTAGAGGGACAGGCCCGACTTAGTCCAATCGCGCATATCAGGGCAGGCCCTTCTCGACGCGGGGCCCTCGCCTGCATGGCAGGCTCGTGGGGTCATCGTCCTGCGGAGGTGGGGCACCCCGCTCCCTCTTGTGAAGAGCAAAACCTGCGGGAACGGGAGGGTGAATTGCAGCAGCCTGGGCCCTAGTGGGCCCTGGAAACGACAGGGCCGTTTTTTCACTGGTTCCGTTTTGCCGTTTTTTTGATGGTTTCGAAGCCGTTTTTTTTGCCGGTTCCGTCGCCGTTTTTTACGGGTTCCCGCTCAGGTTCCACTCCTGGAGCCGTTTTTGTTGCCGTGTCCGGTCGCCGATTGTTTTGCCGCTTCCGTTTGCAAGGGGCACTTTTTCGGAAACGGTGAAAAAACGGCCCTGCCGT